TGGGACCCGTCCTCCACCCCTGAGCCGGCCCGGGAGCCGGTGGCTCAGGGAGACCAAGGACACGCGGCCTGTGGAGGCAGATCCGGACAACAAAGATCAGGTTGTCTTCAGCCACTCGACCTTCCTGGCGTCCCTGCCTAGTTGCTGCCATAGCAGAACCTTCGGCCGTCCGGGGACCAGGGATGCAGGGCTTCCTGTCCCTGCCTCCGCTGACCGCACACCCGGGAGGGTTGCAGCGAGCTATGGCCTTGCAGCTCTCCTTTGGCCTGGGGACCAGGGGGAGTGTCCACCTCCGGGCCTCAGTTTCCCTGTAAGTAAATGGACCCCATGCCTCGGTGCACTCTGGGTCTGGTGTTCGGCCCTTGAGTTCTCCAGAGCAGGGCCAGTGGGTCAGAAGGGCCCTGCTACCCGGGTTCCGAGGCTCCAGGGTCTGCCTCCACACACGACCAGCTCCCGGGAGCATGGGGGCAGGGGAGGACGTGTGCATGGCATCTCCTGGACACTCCAGCTTAAGTCCTGTAGCGTGTCATTAGCTTTCTGACCAGAGTAGTTCCTTTGAAGCACTCAAGACAGCACTCCCAGCCAACACTGGTCACTCACGCTGGAGAGCACAGGAGGGCTGTCTGGGCTGGGATCTGTGCCTCCATGGGAGGGTCTGTGTGTACATCTCATGTCTGTGCAAGAGGTTCATGGGCTTCCTGTGTGGTTTGCACCTGTTTTAGTTTCCACTCCTTGGAATACTACCAAGACTGAACATCTTTATTAATAATTTAATTTTCTAAAGCTGCCTGCTAGTATGATTTACTGGGGTTTCTTAGATTACTTGAGGCCTGGTGCACAAAATTCATGCACGGGTAGGGTCCCCAGGCCTGGCCAGCGATCAGGGCTGATCTGTGGGGCGACTGGTGGGGCAATGGGGGGCAGGGGTCGCTGGCACCTGCCTTGGCTGGCCTGGGGCCTGCAGGCAGCTGCTGCATTGACCACCCCCTGGTGGTCAGTGCACGTCATAGCGACCAGTCATTCCGCTGTTCAGTAGATTTGCATATTAGGCTTTTATTATATAGGATTTTTCTCTTAATGGTAAGACCTCTCTGCATATTATTACTTTTACATAACAAATTTTACAAGGGTTCTAGTTTTGTGCTTTATCTTTTAACTATATTTGATTTAAAACAAATATTTACTTTTGAAGTCAGTTTATCAGTATTTTCCCTTATATTTGGTTTCTGGAGGCTGGGCTTGCTGAGCGTGGTGGGGTTTCATCTGATGATTTCATCTAAACTTCTAAAGGTTATCTCTATTCCATGAAAATAAAAATTACATTTTTCCTTTTCTAAAGAAATATTTATTGTTTTTCCTCTTTACAAATGTGATGCATGCTTATTGTCAAAAATGAAAGGGAAATTATTTAGTTACAGTGAATATCTGAGTTTTACTATCCAAGAACAAGGCTTCTCTCTCCCCATTTGTTTCCATTTGTGACCCTCAGTGGTGATCCATATAATTTTATTCCTAGAAAAATCTACTTTTCTTGATGGTGTTGGGAATGGGATATTTTCTTCCATTATATTTTCTAATTGGTTGTTGGTATAAAAAAACCTATTTGTTTTTGTTTGTTTTCCGAGTGTCAGGCTATCAACTATCCAGATGTCCATGGCCAGGATGCTGGGCGTAGGCAAGCCTCTCTCCTCTCTGCCACCTAATGACCTATTTGTTTTTGAATGTTACTTTTTAACTGGTCTTCATTTCTGATTTAAAATGTAATAAATAAAATGAGAAAGATTTGTTTCCATGTAAAGATTGCTACATTAATTTCTCTCTCAGGGTTTTCCACCAGGGTAAGTCTCATGGTACCTGATTCAGTTCAACATTAATCTCGAGAGTTTTCTATATCCTTCTCATTAGGATTTTCCTTCACTGTGGACACTCTGATGTTGACTAAGTTGAAAGCTAAACCTGAAGGCTTTCCCACACACATTACACACATAGGGTTTCTTCCAAGTGTGGACAGTCTGATGTATAATACAGTCAGAACTGTAGCTAAAGCCTTTGCCACACTCCACACATCTGAAGGGTTTCTCCCCAGTGTGGCTTCTCTGATGCCGAATTAAATGGGCATTAACATGGAAGGCTTTTCCACACTCCTTACACTGAAAGGGTTTTTCTCCAGTATGGATTCTCTGATGTACAATATAATCAGAACTACAGCTAAACGCTTTCTCACATTCCTTACATTTGAAAGGTTTCTCCCCAGTGTGTATTCTCTGATGCCTAGTTAGTTTGGCATTGATACTGAAGGCTTTCCCACATTCTTTACATTGATAAGGTTTTTCTCCAGTATGTATTCGGTGATGATCAAGTAGGTTTCTTTTAGAAGTAAAGCATTTTCCACACTCATTACATTCAAAGGGTTTCTCCCCAGTGTGAATCCTCTGATGCTGCATTAGTTTTGCATTGACGCTGAAGGCCTTTCCACACTCATTACACTCATAGGGCTTCTCTCCAGTGTGGATTCGCAGATGCTGTCGAAGCTGGGAGTTACACCTGAAGGCTTTTCCACATTCATTACACTCATAGGGCTTCTCACCAGTGTGGATTCTCTGGTGCTGGATTAACTTCCCTTTGACACTAAAGGCTTTTCCACATTCAGTACACTCATAGGGCTTCTCACCAGTGTGGATTCTCTGATGCTGAGTGAGTTTTGTATTATTACTGAAGGCTTTCCCACACTCCTTACACTGACAGGGCCTCTCTCCAGTGTGGATGCTCTGATGCTGCCTAAGCTGGGAACTGCACCTGAAGCCTTTCCCACACTCATTACATTTATAAGGTTTCTCTCCAGTGTGGATTCTCTGGTGCTGGGTTAACTTCCCTTTGACACTAAAGGCTTTTCCACATTCATTAAACTCATAGGGCTTCTCACCAGTGTGGATTCTCTGGTGCTGGGTTAACTTCCCTTTGACACTAAAGGCTTTTCCACATTCATTAAACTCATAGGGCTTCTCACCAGTGTGGATTCTCTGGTGTTGAATTAATTTTGCATTAACATTGAAAGCTTTCCCACAGTCATTACACTCATAAGGTTTCTCCCCAGTGTGGACTCTCTGGTGTGTGATATATGCAGAACTGCAGCTGAAGCCATTTCCACACTCCTTGCACTGATAAGGCTTCTCTCCTGAATGGATTCTCTGATGCCTGCTTAGACTCCCATTAACACTGAAGGCTTTCCCACACACCTTACACTGATAGGGCTTCTCCCCACTGTGGACTGTCTGATGTGTAATGTAATGGGAACTGTAACTGAAGCTTTTCCCACACTCCACACATTTGAAGGGTTTCTCCCCACTATGAAGTCTTTGATGACAAATTAATTTTGCATTAACACTAAAGGCTTTGCCACAATCCTTACACTGATAGGGCTTCTCCCCAAGGTAGCTGTTTTGATGATGAAGTTGAGAGTTATACTTAAAGGTTTCCACGAATTCTTCACATTCAAATGGTCTTTCCCTGGAATTACTTATTTCATGATGGATAAGTTTTGTGTCAAAATTTAAGGATTTCTCCAATCCTGTACACTCAGGGGGCTCCTCTCCAGTGGTGATGATGGTATTACACTGATTCAAGTTTGGACTCTGACTAAACAAACACTTCTCCATGAGGCTTGTGTCATCTTTCACCATTCCGTCAATGACACTGCTGTTTTCTTTCTTCATACTTACTACTCGATGGACTTCCTGCTGTTGTTTTTCTAGAATATAGGCTTCTGAGAAGTCTGTTTCCTGGGAAAAGTCCCCCTGAAGTACAAATGATGTATTATGTTTTTCTTTGTTCATTTCCTTTGTCATATTATTGTCAGCCTGGATATCAATATCTAGTATAAAAAACATAAAACAGGAAATGTTAAATCCATATATGCTAATAGGAAAAGACATAAAGATACACTGTTAAGTAAATAAACAAGTTGAGAAATGGTATGTAGAGTAGATTCCATTTGTGTAAAAGAAAATAAAAAGGGCAGGCATAGACATATATATTTGTACTATGCCTAGAAAACTTCTGGAAGAAGGCAAAAGAAACTGAGCAAAATAACAGGAAGTTTAATATATTTCCCCACCATTTTATATACCTTTTTTACTGTTTTGAGCATGTGCCAATAGTATAATTTTAAAGTAATAATTTTGAAAAGACTACCTGTCTCTAAACCAATAATAACCAATAACATAAAGGTTAAAAGTGAGAAACATCTATGTGAGAGAGAAACATTAATTGGTTGCCCAGTTATCAAACCTACAACCTAGATATGTACCCTGACCGAGTATCAAACCCACAACCTTTTTGGTGTATGGGATGGCATGAGGAAGTAATTTTTAAAAGAAAGTCAACTCTGCTGACATGAGTCTTATACCTTACACCTTCCCCTTCTGCTTGCCTAAAACCCATTTGAGTCCTCACCCCAATAAACCTATATTTATGGATTAGATCAATGTTTCTACTATTAGCTCAGATCATGATGGGTTGTTCAAAAACTTCAGGACTATCTACTGTCTATAGATTTTTCCAGACACATTTGATTAAGGGTCTCCACAATATCACTTTTCCCCCCCTCTATATGCCAAGCACTTCAAACTCTCCATGTCCAAAACATGTCTTTGTTGGTCAGAGATCATCTGGCTGAAACCATCTTTTAAAAAAAGAGGATTCATTGAAGGGATGTAAGAGAATCTTATGGAACCCAAATGCAGGAGGTAAAGCTAGGCCTCATGGGAAACGGGAAGACATCTGGCAGCTACTCTGCTTGAGCCAATGAGAGCCTCACTACTTCAAGTGTGGTCTGGGAACCGAAAACATTGGCATCACCTGGAAACTTAACAAAAATGCAGAATCTTGGCCCCATAACGGACTTACTGAATAACAATCTGCATATTTGTAAGACTCTCAGGTAATTCATTTGCATATGGTTTGAGAAGCAATGAATTATAGCACTTCCTCCCTTCTGCCTTATTCCCTATAGCTTACTATATAAAGCTGTCTCCTCCAAAAAACCAAAAATAACTAATGTAACATTGAGCACACACTATTAGCCAGGCACATGATACATGTTATCTCATTCCATCCTCAAACTGTAAGACTAGCACTAAAACCTTTTATTATTATTATCCCATTTTCAGGGATGAGAACACCGACTCTCAGAGAACTAAATAATTGACTTGCTCAAAGTCACACAACTAGGAAGTTGCACAGTTAGGACTGAACCTCAGAAAATCTGCCCCAAAACTATACTTCTAACCACAGGGCTATTTTCCTGTTCTGTGTAAAGTATTAAATAGACAATGTTTAGAAAACTAGCAAGAACCCTCTCCCTGCACCCAAATTACTTAATCCATTCATTTTTTTCTAAGTAAGGTAGAATTCTAAAATTAGGATTAAAAAAAGTTAGAATGAGGCATTTGAAAATGATCTGTTCTTAGTACAAAGAAATAGAAAATTGTGAAAATAGAAAAGATCTTAATTGAATCTATCTCTATATAGATCATCAAAATTTATTTAAATTTTACTCTGTACAGCTGGCCAATAAGCGTGGCACGGTTATATGCTGCTAACATGCTAACTCATGCTTACATGCTAACTCTTTCTTCCTAAAGAGTTAAACTTTCCAGCATAATAGGCAATATGTGCTTCCCTTACCAGTCCAGAGGCCTGGAGGGTCTGTGCCTGTTTCAGCAGCCAGTGGAGATGGGCCCCTCAGCTCACCTCCTCCCTCCAGTTGTAAGATCACAGCAGGTTTGATAAGTGGAAATCCTGTTTTGGGGGAAAGGAAATAGGAGAGAAGGGTGAATAGTCTGCCATTGGGTGATACCTAAGCCTCTTCTCCGATTGTCTTGGCAACTGGGGGGGGGGGGGGGGGGAAAAAAAAACAAGGTGGCTGGGAGGCGGGGAGGGGAGGGCTTGAGGAGGTGAGGGAGAAGTCGACAAGGGCCCAGACCATGGGCCCAGGAGACTTCATGCAGAGCAAACAGAATCTGCCCAAAGGGACACCAGTTTCTGACCTTGGCCTGAGATATTCAGAGTACACGGACATCTTTGGAAAGACCGAAGATGCAGGTGAGGGGGAACTAAAGATAACGCTGTAAGTTGCTTTTTGCACACTAAAACAGCTTCTATAGGGTTCATAAAGAGTGTACACTAGTCCCGGCAAAATCCTATATTGACCCAAAAAGGGCTTGGGGTTTGCCCTTCCCAGCAATCCCTGGGTCTAGAGAATTAGGAATCTCAGCCTCTGGAGTCCCCACTCAGTAGAGGATTCACCAGAGACCCCACCTGCAACATGTAAGGGAAGTCAGGAAACCCCAACCGACAAGTCTGGGTCCAGGGGGAGAGGCCTTACCCAGGGAGGCCACATTCCCATAATTCTCCAGCATCACATCCCTGTACAGAGCCCTCTGTGCAGGGGACAGGCCATCCCACTCCGTTGGGGTGAAGTACACAGCCACATCCTCAAAGGTCACCGACTTCTGAAACAACAGGTTCCTGCTGCCCTAGGGCCAATTCCATGGCTCAGGCCCTAAGTGGGGGGCAGAGGGCAGTATAAGGGCTCGGGGAGGGAGCTTGTGAAGAGCATGAAAGTAATAACATGGCAAAAAATGTGAGAAAAATACCTGAAAAGCAAGCCAGAGCACATTTGACTTCTCTCGTGGCAGAGAAACCTCATGCCGTTTTTATACTTCTAAAAGATAGTACAGCCACTCCCTCACTGGTGGACACGGCTCAGGACCCACCCACAAGCATTCCCACTTCATCTCCTTGAGGTCTGGGCTTCTCCATCCTGCTCCCAAAGAATGGCCATGGCTTCCATCTCATCCAGCCCCATCTGCAGCCTGATCCGCGTCACCAACTTCCCAGCAAGGGGCCGTGCCGCCTCTGCTTCAGAACCTCCAGCAGAGGAAGCTCAGTGCTGCCCAGACCAGTTTGGGGACCAGGGGTGAGGGGGTGGCAGCAACAGCCATCCCGCTTCCAGATGGGTCTTGCTGAAAACCCGACGTTTTGTTACCCCCTCCCATTCAAGCCTCATCCAAGGTTTGGACGAGAAGGGAGCTCAGCTTTCCTGTTGGCGAGCTCCTCAAACACCCTTTGGCTGCTCCTCTTTGCATCAATACCCTCTGCAGTCAGCACCGGCTCTGCCACTCAGGGCTGATGCTGCATGCTCGCAGGCCCGGCTCCTCCCTCCTGAGCAGCTGCAGACTCCGGCTGCTCTCTGCCCCCCTCAGCCTTCTCTAACAACCTTGGGGACACATTGGCAGGGATTTGCCCTCAACTCCTGTCTGCCAGGATCTGTCCTGGTTGACTCTACCAACCTCCACCCAGCAAATAATCTAGTCAGCTTCTGGGAGTTACTGTGAGTCACTCGCTGTGTGACCTCGGACAAGTCAAATAACTTCTCTGAACAAAATTAAATGCCTTCACTGCCCACTGCCACCGCCCTTTCCCCAGGTAAGCTGGGTCCTCCTCCTGAATTCAAACCTCAGTTGGTGTCACCCACCACTATCTGTGCAGGAAACCTCAGCTAGAACCCTGGGGATTCATTCTTGACTCCTCCCTCTCCTTTACCCCCATCTCCTGACTCTGATTCTAAGTCCTAACGGTTTTTATGTTAAGCATTACTAGAATTAGATCCCCCTCTTTAACAACTACTTTCCTGATGAAGCCCACATCGCCTGGACCAGGGGACTTCTTTCTGAAGTGGTCACCCTGCTTTTGAATCTCCCTGAAAGTTGTTCCCTACACAGCCATCACAAATCTGACCAAGTTAACTCCACTGGCCCCACACGTGCCCCAAGGCTGGGCAGTGAAGAATCACACAATGGCTGTGAGACCGTGGGCAAGTCACTCTATCTCCTTTGCCTTCGTGTCTTTTGTGGTGTAATGAGTCCAACATAGCACCTATCTCAGAGGTCAGTTGTCAGGAATGAGCGATCCATGCAGTGCTTAGTATGGTGCCTGCAGCATAGGAAGCTTTAAGCGATGTTACTGGAGTTACTGTGACTATGACTTTCCCAACCTGCAGTCCATGGAGGTCCATGGATGAGCCTCAGGGGGTCCATGAAGTCCCTGAAATTGCATGGAAAACTTGGTTTGCACATGTGTTTTTCTGGGGGAGAGGGTCCAGAGCTCTTATCAGAGACCTACAGTTTGAGCCACTGTACCCCAAGCCCTGAAAGCCTCTGAAAACACAGTGAGACGACAACCTGTCCCGCAGGGCTTCCAGTTTCCTTCCTCCCTTGCCCCCACTACCCTCCTCTTCCCCTCAATTAGAAGCACAGCCCTGCTTCACCTGTACCTGGTCCCTGGGAATCCCAGTCCTCTGCTGCCTCCTCCATTCACACCCATACACGGAGCATCCTACCTGGTCAGTTCCCACATCTCCTATTCCCCAGAGCCCTCTGCTGAGGGGAGCAAAGAACCTCAATGTGCCCAACACGACACCCCTGCCTTCGGGCCCGCTCTCCTGCTGCTTCCATCCCTCTACATCACCACTCTGCCCACAAGTCCAGTCGGGCAGGTGTAAGCATGGAGGCCCTCTCCAGCTCTCATCACCAGCTCACCAGCTTCCTTTCTTGGTTTCTCAATTTGAAACTGCTCAGAGCAAGACCCGAAGAACCCACAGCTCACCTGAGGCCAGGCTGTCAGGAGCATGGCTGCCATTGCTTCGCCTCCCTCTCAGAGAAGGGCTGGAGCTAAGGAAAAGCACAGAGGGAGACCAGTGTGAGGTAAGCCACCCTGACCAAGAAGAGAAGATCTAAGATGCAGGCAGCCTGTGTCCAGATAGGAGTGTGAGCAGGAGCTGCCACAGGAAGATGGGGCTGGTCTGTTCTATCGATCAGTACCCCGGACTCCTCCCAGCCATGACACTGATGCTCACTGCCAGGAACCCTAGGATTTTACAACTCTGACACACATCTCTCTCACACACACACACACACACACACACACACACACACACACACACACACGAGTGTACATAAAAACGTATGCAGAGCCTAAAGAATAAAACAAAGACTCGAGGAGCAGTGCTTCAGCTCAAGAGACAGAACAATACCAAGATCTTTGATTTATTTCTCTCTCTAAACAAGTATCACCCTCGGTCCTCCTGCAAGAGAAGACAGGCAGGAGGTGCTGCAGCCCCAGCACAGAGGCCCGGGTCAGGCCCAGGGAGGCAGCAGCTGGAAAGGGACAGCTGCTCCCCCACATCGTGCCTATCTCCTCACATAGATGAGTGTCCTCAAGGGTCTAATGTCTCTGTAGAGATCTTGGGAGGTCAGCCTCCCCCATGGCCCAGACTTACCTTCAGGAAGCTGGGCCAGAAGTGAGGTACCAGGCTGCCTCCTCATACTTTCCAGCCTGCTGAGAGCAAAGAAGCCGAGATCTCAGTGACCTGGCAGAGGGGATCGCTGAGGCATGTAGGGCCCCATGACCCAAAGCCCCTTCTCACCATGTTCAAAAACACACGGAGTGGCTATTTTCTGATTCTCACGGATCCTAAATTCAGTCTTGAAAATGTATGCTTTCCTAAAATTTCATCTACGTCTTCCAGGATTTCAACTTTAGCACAAGTGTGGGAAAAACTGGTTTATGACTTTTTTCACTTCCTCCATATCTGGAGCTACTTTGCTTTTTCCACTTCTTCTTTTGAATATATATGCTTTTAGACCTCTTCCCTTGGTAAATTTTGTGTCCCCACAAAATTCCTATGTTAAAGTCCTAACCCCCAAGGTGGCAATAAGATTAAATGTGGTCATAAGGGCAGGGCCCAAATCTAATAGGGCTGATGCACTTACAAGAAAAGGAAGAGCTCTTTTCTGGTTTTTGCATCGCGAGGACCCATGAGCAGCAAAGTCTCCCACGACACCCTCTACTAGGCGGTGCGGGAGGTGCTGCACAGGAACCAGCGCAAGCGCCGGAAGTTTATGGAGACAGTTGAGCTGAAGATTGGCCTGAAGAACTATGACCCTCGGGGGACAAACGCTTCTCAGGCACCATCAGGCTTAAGTCCACGCCCTGACCCAAGTTCTCCATGTGTGTTCTGGGGACCAGCAGCACTGTGATGAGGCCAAGGCCGTGGACATCCCGCACATGGACATCAAGGCGCTGAAGAAACTCAGCAAGAATAAGAAACTGGTCAAGAAGCTGGCCAAGAAGTACGATGCCTTTCTGGCTTCAGAGTCTCTGATCAAGCAAATCCCATGAATCCTGGGCCCAGGCCTGAAGAAGGCTGGCAAGTTCCCGTCCTTGTTGACCCACAATGAGAACATGGTGGCCAAAGCTGAGGAGGTAAAATCCACAATCAAGTTCCAGATGAAGGAGGTGCTGTGTCTGGCAGGGGCTGTTGGCCACGTGAAGATGACAGGTGATGAGACGTGTGCAACATCCACTTAGCTGTCAATTTCTTGGTGTCACTGCTCAAAAAGAACTGGCAGAATGTTCGGGCTTTGTACATGAAGAGCACCAGGGGCAAGTCCCAGCACCTGCACTAAGCTTAATAAACCATACTGCTATGGAGGGACGGAGGGAGGGAGGGAGGGACAGACTCCAAAGCTCTCCATCTTTGCCATGTAGCACGCAGTGAGAAGGCAGCCACCTGAAACCCCAGGAGAGAGCCCTCACTAAGAACAAATCAGCAGCTCCTTCATCTTGGACTTGGTGTCTCCAGAACTATAAGATTAGGTTCCTGTTGTTAAAGCCACACAGCCGATGGCATTTTGTTATGGCATCCCAAACAGATTAATAAAGAAGGCTGGGCAGTGGTTTATTTTAATGTTGTTTTATTTTCAGTGAACCAGCTTTTTAATTTATTTAGAACGCTGTTTGTTTTTGTTTTTCCCCTAATTGATTTTAATTCATTAAGCTCTGTTTGTTAGTTTGTTTCTTAGGCTCTGTAAGAGATACCTTACGCACCACTCCATTCCTCTTGTCTCACACTTAGTCCTGTTCCAGAAGCTTATTCAGCTTTGTGCAGGTGCAGCCTGCCAATGCCTCTGCAAGGATCTCCACCACCGATGCCTGGCTCCTGCCCTGGGCTTCTCTGCTGTCCTGTACGGGGCCCCTGCGGAAACCTGGGGACACTTGCTGGTCCCTAAAGTGCAGGAGAGTTAATGCCTGTGGTGCCACCCTTGACCAATAGGGGACAGAGGTCAATGGATAAATGTTTTCCCCTTTAGACCCCCAAATGAGATTCCAAAGCTCCTCCAAGATCCTGTAAGACAGAGCAGCAATCAGATGGAGAAGGGCCACACTGACAGAGCACCCTGGTACTGGCTCTCCTTCCTTCTCTGTGCCAGGCCCTGCCTTTCACTCTGCCCCGGGACTACATTCCCAGATGAATCACCTGCAAATCTTTGCCCTTTGTTCTGCTTTTGGGGAAAACTAGACTATAAAGGCTTTTTCAAACTTCTTAGGGGAGCATGGCTTATTCATTTATTTCCATACTTTCCTATTTGGCAATTAAAACCTATAAGGCCATAAATTTTCCTCTGAATACACAATTAGCCACATACCAGAGGTTTTATGTCATGTTTTAATTACTATTTGATAGCTGGTGTTTAGTCTCTGACCAAAGAATTGTTTAGGATAGTATGTTGTTAATTTCTTCTCTGTTCATAATTTCTGGCTTTACTGATGGTGTTTGAATAGTCCAATACACTTACTTCTGCTTTACAATTTTTTTTTTGAATATTGTAGTCCTATTTATTTATTTATTTATTTTATTGATTTTTTTACAGAGAGGAAGGGAGAGGAAATAGAGAGTTAGAAACATCGATGAGAGAGAAACATTGATCAGCTGCCTCCTGCACACCCCCTACTGGGGATGTGCCCACAATCAAGGTACATGCCCTTCACCGGAATTGAACCTGGGACCCTTCAGCCCGCAGGCCAACACTCTATCCACTGAGCCAAACCGGTTAGGGCTACAAATTTTTGAGGGTTAATAGCTGAAGTGCCCATTTAAAAAATAGTCTATAGATGCTTAAAAACATATTATATGATGGAAGAACATATAATTCTATATGAATTTAATGAATCAACTCTACCAATTTTATTATATAGATTTTTCTCTGTAATCCATGATTACTTTTACCTAATTAAACTGAGATAGCCAGTAAAGAGTGTACTCATAAAATACTGAGCCCATATATATCATAGGTAAATCTTTTCAAATCTTAAAGAAATGAGTAATTCTAACACTATTTAAACTGTAACAGAGAAGAGCAAAATAAGTTTCCCAATCTTTTGATCACGCCGATGTTAGATGGGACAAGAGTCTCAAGGTCTGGGCAGATCTTGTTAAGTGTGAAAATGTAGCACAGTATTTTGCAGATGCAGCTTATCCACTCAGGATGAGCTTGACCACTCAACCCGAGTTTAGCCAACTGCCCCCACCTCCCAAAAAAGAAAGAACTCAACATGCAATTAACCAAATCCAGGTAAGTTTGGCCAACTGCAAAGAAATCAACATGTAATTGACCAAACAGTGTATAAAGCAATGGCTAAGCCTCTCTTCCAGGAAGCAGATTTGGATGTGAATCTGTGGTCTCCTTTACTTGCTGCCAGTAAATAAAACTACCTAACAACCACCATGTCTCCTTGACTAGAACCCCCTAAGCAGTGAACCCCTTGAGTTGGGTAACATCAACACAACTGCCCAGCAGCAAAAATGAATGACTAACAACAACATGGACGAATTTAGGAACATATGACTACAGACCCTATGCTGTCGTTTTCACAAAGCTCAAAAGCAAACTAAACACATTATTTACATATACATGCATATGTGACAAAATGATTTTTTTAAAAACAGGTAAGGCTACATTAACACAAAATTTAAGACAGTTGTTACTTCTAGGGGTGGGAAGCTGGGAGTTGGGTTGGGGCTGAGCACACAGGCAGCAGTACTGGTAATGTTCTCCTCCTTAATGGGGTGGTGTGCTCATGGCAGCTCATTTTACTATGCTTCTTAACTGTCATAGTAGATGCAGTCTTGTGTATACGTGAATGGCATTTTTTTTAAAAAAGATAATTATCTCTATGATATGGGTGATTTTCAAAGTATTTTGTCAAATAAAATTTTAAAAAAACAAAGTGCAAAAACAGGAGTATAAGAAAATATGTGTCTCGTCATTTATACAAAAAGAAATGGAAGGATAAACCAGAAACGAAGGAGAGTGGTTACACCGGGTGTGGGTGGGAAGTGGGTGAAAGGAACCCTGGAATGGGAACAGGATGGAAGGAAACTGGGTAGAAGGGAGGAGGAGGGAGCGTCGTGTCTCTGAGTGTGCCTTTTGTTCTTTTATAACCAGAGTAATGTTTCACAGAAACAAATAAATAAATACACATAAATGTTTAAAATCAACCAACCAGGATGGGATGGTGGTGATGACCCAAAAAAGGAACACAAACAACATCAAACGAGCCTAACTATCCTGCAATTGAGTCACGTGCCCACACTGAAATGGTGGGAAAGACAAGAACTAAGTAACTTTGGAAAACAATATTTTAACTAGATACTCTAAGGCTATAAAGACCTGCACTAAAATACCGCCCTCTAGTGACAATGGGAAAAACTAAAATGTAATAAACATTGCTGAGTCCCTTTAAATAGCGTCAGGAGGCTATTAAGGAAGTGGGCCTACGCACATGTTGTGCCTCCGTTTTCAGAGCTACTTTTACTGTTGCTAGTCCTGTTGTTACACTACAACAAACAAAACACAAAGCCTGTTGCTACACTCAGCTCAAGGCAGAGACATAAACATGCGGGAATCATAAACATCTTAGAACTGCTACATGGACATATATGGAATTTACTTCCTTAGTTCTCACCTCCCTCGTTTCCATATTGGAACTAACCAAACCCTGTTAACCTCGCCGGCAATACCTCAATTGCATGAAAGAATTACACTTTGTGATTTGCGCCTTTATAAACCCTGCCTTTCTTCGTTCTCTCCAGAGCTTAGTTTGGGCTGTTACCTGAATCCGCTTCTCTTGGATTCGAATCCTTGAAGACCCCAAATGAACTTGTTTCATGTACTCAGATCTTTATTTGTTGACATCAGTAAACCTGCTTTCCACACGGGTATGAATGAGCAATGCTGGAGTTATTTTAAGTGTATTCTAGGACTCAACAAGTCACTAATTACATTGTAGCAATCCTTGCCGGGCCGCTGTCATCGCACAGATGGAGCGCAGGGCGCGGTTACCTCTTGGAACTGACACCGCTGCGGTAAGCGGACAACGCCTTCCAAACGCCGGCTTCTTCTGCTCCCGGGTGGGCGGGGGGGCCCTGCCTCTTCTGCTCCTCCCCGGGGCCTTGCTGCACGACCCCATGTAAGGAGCCAGAGCGCACGCAACCCACACTTGGTGAAGGCGCCTGCGTGACCTCAACGTGTCAAAGGACTCGTGACTATCCCTTCAGGCCGCTTCGCCCCGGAAAACATCCCACCCGCCGGCTGCTCCGACACACCTTCCCGAAAGTCAGCAGCGTCTTTCCCCAACTGTTTGGGGCTTCGCTTCCCACGGGATGGAACGTTTTCGGCCGCCAAGTTCAAAGCGGGAGTCAGAGAGGGGCCGCCGACCTGCTCCCTGCTCCAGGGGTGGGCAACCCACCTCCTACCCGGGCGGAAGGGCACCCCTAACGCACAAAGAGCCAGGGCACCACCCCACCCTCCAAAGTGCCACTCACCTAGGGTGCTCGCGGACCCACCTCCGGGGCTCCCGGCTCCGCTGCTCGCTGCTCCGCGGGGCGGCCGGAAGTGCGTCACTAGGCTGCGGCCGAGCCCCTCTAGGAATGCCGTCGCTCCCTCTCGGTGGTGCCCTGGCCCCGCCCCCTGCGCTCCAAACCTCAGAGCCCCGGAGTCTGACGCTCTTTGTCCCTTTCCCTTGGGTCTCGTTCCCGGAGCGTTTGCTCTGCGGGGTGGTGCCGGGGATCTGTGTCTTGGTAAAGCTGCGGTGCAACCAGATTTGGGAGTCTACGGACTGGATCCAGTGGGTGACACGGTATCAAAACCAAGGCCACTCTTTTTGTAACAAATATTTCCTAGTGACCAGTTTATTCTCTTGTCATGAAAATCATAGATAACACTTAGAAAAGCATAGACAATATAAATAATTTACATTTTAAAAACTAATGTTATGCCTTAAATGAGATAAAGGAGAAATATAAGGAAAATGATTTGTAATTGCAAACATATTCCGATTTGTAAAGGTTTGGTCATGACTACTGCTGTAGACCTAAGGAAGTGGCCAGATATTTGCCTTCGCACTTAGGATGTGCCTGAATGCCACAGCCACATGCTGTGTCTTATACTGGTGTCTCAGAAATCACAAGGTGGGATCCAAAATGGTGAACCCTTTTGGTGAAGTTTAAACGAAACACAGGACAATCTTGTCTTGATCATATTCCTAGAGAATCAGCAAATGTTAAAACTGTGCAAAACCACATTGTGTTTACCTTAAAAACAAGTTCTAGATTCAGGTATTTTAGAAGTTTTTACCTCCATGAATGTCCAGCAAGACCAATGTCTGTGAAAACTTTTTTTTTTGTTAATCCTTACCCAAGGTTATTTTTCCATTGAGATATATATATATATATATTAGTGGAAGGAGAGGGAAAGACAGAGAAACATGGACTCATTACCTTCCAAACTCACCTGACCAGGGCCAGGCCCCAGGATGGAGCCTGCAGCCGAGGGACATGCCCTTGACTGGAATTGAACCCAGAACCCTTCCGTCTGCAGGCTGAGGCTTTATCCATTGAGCCAAACCAACTAGGGCTGTGAAAACTTTCAGTAGGGAGAACCATCTGGTGCATTGCAGGATTTGTGACACTCCTGGTTACCACCAAACACTGTAACAAAAACACCCCCATAAAATTCCAAAATAAGCCCTTGGATTGCACCACCCACCTGCAGGGTCCCTCCCAAGTCTGACAGTGTTGGCCTTTCTCCTTCCAGCTCTGATCCCTTCCTTTCCTGCACTGGAAGGTGGTTGGAGGCCTGCACTCACTTCTCCAGCCTCTTAGCACTCCCATTCTCCCCCTCTCCACTTCAGCCCCACTTGCTGAACATGCTGTTTTCTATACCTACCATGCCTTTCCCTTCCCATTCCCACCTCGGTCTTGACTGTTACTTGGTATCAGCTAAATCCCATTTCCCTTGGAAAGTAAGCCTTCCCTGACCACCTAGTATAAGGGAGGCCAGTCAGTTATGAGGCATTGCAGCGTTCTGTACTTCAGTGCTTAGTACATTTGTGCTTATTTAACGGTGACAGTTTATTTAAACATGTTTTCTCTGATCACTCCATAGAGCAGGGACTATAGCTGCCTTGTTCAACACCATTATCCTCAGGTAAAGTACAAGGCCTGGCACGAAGGAGGTATGTAATGTTTGTTGTTGACGTAATCCAAAGGCTCCAGGTCCAACTCCAACTCCAGGGCAGGACTCTTCTTTATTTCTGGCACTGGAGTGAGGATATGTCCTATACCTGGGATCTCTGACCATTGCTAGGAGCCCTTCTCTGCTTTGCCCTGATCCTGTGCAATTTAGATGGCTTCTCTCATTCAGATAGGAAAATGGTCCCACAATTGGGCAGTGATTGCTGGGGACTATGTTGCTCTTGGCAGTAAAGATTTCCGCTTCTTCCTAGGCTCAGAAAATAGAGCTTTAGCTAGGAATAAAGGCTTGTCTAAGGAAGAAATTAGCAGATCAGTGTCACAGAAATGCTGACCCCAAAGGGTGGATCACAAAAAAGTCACCTAATTTTGTAGGTAAGAAAATAAGACCTCCTAAATAATCATGAAGCCCCAATTCCTAAGATAGGCACACACCAGGTTACAGAAGTTCTACAGAAGGCATGCAGAAGCAGAGACCACTGTCTGTCAACCTCTGTTCTTTCCTTTTTATCCGGTAACAGACTCTAGATCAGCGGTTCTCAACCTGTGGGTCGCGACCCCTTTGGGGGTCAAACGACCCTTTCACAGGGGTTGCCTAAGACCATCGGAAAACACATATATAATTACATATTGTTTTTGTGATTAATCACTATGCTTTAATTATGTTCAATTTGTAACAATGAAAATACATCCTGCATATCAGATATTTACATTACGATTCATAACAGTAGCAAAATTACAGTTATGAAGTAGCAACGAAAATAATTTTATGGCTGGGGGTCACCACAACATGAGAAACTGTATTAAAGGGTCGCGGCATTAGGAAGGTTGAGAACCACTTCTCTAGATCAAAGGGAAGGATGGGTATGCTATTCAAGACAAACACCCAGCTGGAAAAGCTACAATAGCCTGGCATTTACCAGTCTGGTGCCTAGAATAGTATCCATTCCAAATAAAAACAGAAAACAATATTAAAGTCTTTTGTTTTGATAGCATTTGGTTACATAGTTAAGACTTTTCTTGAGAATGGACTCACTGACAGTTTTGTAGGAAGCCTAAACGTCTGTCACAGACCTGAAGCTGTTAGAACTTCCATCCCCTGGTGCTGTCCTGATGCACCCTGGGCTCCCATGTTCCAACGGGTTTCCTATTCTTCTTACAATTACCAGGGCTGCTGGGACCACAGCTGAAGACTTTCCCATCCATCACACACACAAAACATTTCTCCTTTGTTAGTCCTGAAGATTATTAAATTATAACAATTATTAAAAACTACAGGCCCGGTGCACAAAATTTGTGCACTCCAGGGGGTCCCTCAGCCCTGCCTGCGCCCTCTTACAGTCTGGGAGCCCTTGGGGGATGTCCAACTGCCGCGGCTCGCCACCACCACTGTGCTTGCCAGCCCTGAGCCCGGCTTCCGGCTGAACAGAGCTCCCCCCTGTGGGAGCACACTGACCACTAGGGGGCAGCTCCTGCATTGAGCATCTGCTCCCTGGTGGTCAGAGCGCATCATAGCGACTGGTCGTTCCGCTGTTCGGTCGATTTGCATGTTAGCCTTTTATTATATAGGATAATTGTTAGACTGATAAGGCACCATTCCAAGGAAAGAAAACTTAACTCAAACTTGTTTGAGAAAAACAAAACTGAATTTATTGGTTACTGGAATTCAAAAGCCCAGATACATTTCTAGCTTCAGACATAGTTTAATGTAGTTGTTCAAATGGAATTGTCAAGGCTGATTACTCTCCAACTCTTTTTTTTTTCTGCAGTATTGAATCTATTCTCAGCTTCCACAATAATCCAGGAATTCCTCTCAGCTTTAAGACTAAGGGAAAAAGAACAGTATTTCTTCCTGTTAACTCTGGCCACATCCTGGAACTCTAATTGGACCATCTTGGGTCACCTACTGACCAACAACGATGGCTAAGCCAGGTCTGTGTCACACATTCTACTCTTGAGTAGAAGATGGAGTCCCAAAGGGAAGTGAATATACTACCAGTCAAAGGGGGTAAAAAACTCTGGGAGGCCAAAACGACAAATGTCCAGCGCAGGCTTCTCTCCGGGGTGGACATGCTCAAGGTCACCTAGCTGGGAAGAGGTCCTAAAGGTCTTTTCATACTTGACACACCCATAGGGTTTCTTTCCAGTATGGACTCTTTGGTGCTGAAGAAGACTTCTTTTGCTAGTGTAGACTTTTCCACACTCATCACATACATAGGAAGACTCTTGAATATGGGTCTTCAGATGCCTTTTTAGTTGTTCCTGAGCACTGAAGGCTTTTCCACAAGCTACACAGTCAAAGGGTTTCTTATCGCTGTGGACTCTCTGGTGTCGAGTTAATTTTTTATGCAAATTGAAGGCTTGCCCACATATTTTACAAGAATAAGGCTTTTCCCCTGTGTGAATACGCTGATGTTGGATAAGATAGGAAGTCCTTCCGAAGCTTTTGCCACATTCATTACATTCATAGGGTTTCTCTCCACTGTGAATTTTCTGATGCCGAAGTAGTGGTGAGTTACCAACAAAAGCTTTTCCACACTCGTTACACGCGTAAGGTTTCTCTCCAGTGTGGATTCTCTGATGTATAACAAACTCAGAACTACTGGTGAAGCCTTTCCCACACTCCTGGCAGTGATAGGGTCGGTCCCCACTGTGGATTCTCTGATGCCTCATCAGGTTTGCGTTATCATTGAAGGCTCTCCCACACTCCTCACACTGATAGGGTTTCTCTCCAGTGTGGATCCTCTGATGCCGAATCAATGAGGAATTGCCATTGAAGGCTTTTCCACACTCATTACACACAAAGGGTTTCTCCCCAGTGTGGATTCTCTGGTGTCTAACATAGTGAGAAAAATAGCTGAAACACTTCCCACATTCCTCACACCGGAAGGGTTTCCCGTCACAGTGGATTCTGGGAAGCTTTCCTCTACCATGTTTCCTTGTGGAGATTTCCTGGTGCTTCTCCAGTTTACATGTTCCTAGGAAGTTGCTTCTCTGAGGAGCAATCTTCTGCAGACCACAAGACAACACCACGGCTCTGTTTTCAGAAATTCCCTGTCCTGATGTGGACTCACTGCCAATGTTGGTCTCGGTATCTGACATAAACAGAAAGCACAGTGCCACCTGAGAATGATACTAGAAACAAAAGAGCATCAAATAACATAGAGCTTTCAGAGATTACTAGTTCAACCTCCACATCGGCCTGCTAGCAATAAAAGTGCCAAATAGCACATGGGCAGAGAACTGTCGAGGTGGAACAGGGTGTCAACGTACACACGACACGTCGGACTGCTTCCTAAGCTTTTCCAGACTCTGTATTTGAATGACTTGTCCCTCGTATGTTCTAGTATCTTTTGACCTCAGGTACTTATAGGCCTACAAAATACCAAAGAAGGTACAGGCTCAAAGATTAAGTAGTGACATTGAGGCTGGCAAAACTCAGTGTCACTGCTACTGCTGCACGTTCTGTTTTGCCTGCTCTCCCATATCCTATTCCCGAGCTGTAAATGCAGAGCCCTCCGGTCCACCACAAAGTCTGCATCTGGATGTTCCACACAATGCTGGGTGGGTGAGACAGACCAACTACATTCACCACACCTTCGGCTGAGGAAGGGGGTCAGGATGCACTGCGCACCCTGTGCCAGCCCCCGATGCTAGGAAGCCTTGCTTGGGTTCCGAGTCCTTTTGCACGACTTACTAGAAAGGACAGAGGAATACTTGCAGGTGGGCTCCAGAAAAAAAACCCGTTTTAAAAGATGCTCCCCAGGTGATGCGCCTGCACATTATGCTGCAAAGTCCTTCACACTAATTTACTGGATCCTTTATTCCCTTCCTCGGGCCAGACAGTCTACCTTCTTTTTCTCCATATGCTATCCACTGTAACCGGTCAAATTCAGAACAAATGGCACCACCCCTGAAGACGCATTACTTGAGCTTCTAAATGGTAATTTCTCTAAGCTTTCCTGCTGAGCTCCCACAGCCCACTGCCTATATACACATTTTTAAAAAGCTTTTACATCGGTCTCCACAACTTGTATCCTCTAGAGCAGCGGTATCCGCGACCACTGGTGGTCGTGAGGTCCGAAAGGTTGGCGACTGCTGCTCTAGAGAGTCTTAAACAAAACCTGGCACACTCAAGTACTGAAAAACTGCTCCTACGTAAATCCATCCTGTCCAAAGAAGAAGGGCCACTGAGGCAGGCAATGCTGAAACTCAGAAGGGAACAAGGGATTCAAGAATTGCATAAGAGATGCATGAAGAAATAGTTATCTTGGTAAGAGTTAAAACTGGTGGGAAAGGTTTCATATTTTACCTATTAGGAAAGATCACCTATTTAAATCCTTGTGAGCATGGTTCATTTTAAAGTATACGCTCTGTAAAGCCCCACAGCTGCCCATTTTAAACTGGCCTCGTTTACCTTGACAGACGTGTGTGCTCCTCTCTGCAGGTGGGTCATTCTGTGCCTCCAGGCCCCAAGGCAAGTCCCTTCCCTCCAGAAGTGAGATGAGGGCAGAGTTGGGAACTGTGTATCCTGAAAAGGGGAGAGAAATGGCACCTTTCAGCCCTGGGTCTGCTATGTCAAAAGAAGGAAAACTGCCCAGCCGGTGTGGCTCAGTGGTTGAACCATGCAGTGGGGATACCAGAGACAACCCCTCCTTCTCCACGCCGTACCCCCAGCCCATAAGGGAAAAAGGAAGCAGGAAAGCATAGATCTGAGTCCCAGGAGGAAGTAGCCTTACCCAGGGATGTCAAGTTCCCGTAATTCTCCAGCATCACACTTCTGTGCAGGGCCCTCTGTGCAGAAGAGAGGCCAGCCCATTCTGCCTGGGTAAAGTGCACAGCCACGTCCTCGAAGGTCACCACCTCCTGAAACAAGAGGTTCCTGCTGTCCCAGAACCAATCCTCTGCCTCAGAGCCAGAGTGTGGGACCCAGGGGACAGTATGAGGGAGGAGTCCTATTAGAGATGGCTAATGAGAAAAGGTGAAAGAATAGGTGTTAGACCATTAAATGGCTATTTCTACAACCAACAACCTGGAACTTTTCTATCAGAAGAGCTTCCTTTGGAACATAAAATGTACTGTTATAAAACATGATAAAACATTTCAGAAAGCCTGGAGTCTCCCATTATTCACCTTCTCAGAGCAAAATCTCTGACTTTATAAATACTGTCCGTCTTTCACTGTTACACCTACAGGTGGGCCATTAGCTTCAGAATGTCCAGACACTCACTCCAGGTGGCATCTCAGGACTGCCTGTTCCCCCTTCACTGCCCCAGTGCTCACTCCGCCCCAAACCTCAAGCCCACACAACAAGAGCAGAGTCATGGTTTGCCATGATGAGCCCTTTGCATCCAGTCCCCATCTGTTGCTTGATTGCTGTGCTGTCTGTGCTCAAGATCACCCAGCAGAGGGAGCCGTGCTGCCTGGGCAGCCTAGCATTCTGCTCCCTGATGTGTCTTCCTCGGAGAATATGCTTCTGGAATCAAACTGCTACTGGGTAGCGCTTTTAGCCTCGTGTCTTTACAGCCCCAACACAATCTGCAATAGCTCTTGCCAACCAAGCCTCCGGGTTTTTTCAGTAGCCATCCTTGCCCCTTCCTGCTGGTCCCAAGTCTATCTTCCCAGAAAGCTCCAGCAACTGGTTAGGCCCTCTATTCACATCTTAGACTTTAGTATCAAATGTGGTTACCTGAACATGTGGTGACTATCCTCCCACTTTCTAACACCTTGACAGATGTACAGATCTGCCCCTTCCACTAGTCCCCATGCCTCACACTCTCTCCTGACCCAACATGTCTGACCCACCAGCTAACACTAATCATCTGCCCCCCTAAACTGGTTCCCTCTCTAATTCACATAAACTAATTCACACGGTAAGTGACAATTTTCTTTCCCTAAGATTCATCCTAGACTAACTCGCCCCCGTCACTGCTCACTTCTGACAGTTGGTAATCAAATTCTGCCCATTTTATTGCCAAAATATTTCTGGAACCGACTCTTCACTATTGTACAATCCGTACAACAGTTCAACAGATGGGGACCTTACACAGCTCCAATTCCAGCTGTCCCATACTGAATCCATCCTCTGCCAGCACATACAATGATCTACTTTAAATGACAACCTGACCCACTCAACTGAATGATTTAATAAGTCACCACTAACTACAATAGTGGTTCTCAAAGTGTGGTCCCCAGGGCAGCAGCACCTGATAACTTACTGGAAAGGCACACTGGCAGGCCCCATCCGAGAGTAAATGTTCCATCAATGAACCCTCCAGGTGACTGTGATGCACACTACATCTGAGAAACCTGGACTAGAAGATAAAGTCCAAGCTTAGGAAATTGAGATGTATCAGGTGACCAGTGGACAGTGAGGGGGAGGCATAAGACTGTACACAGGGAAACTAGCTGGGAAGGTCCTCAAACAAAATCCCAGAGAAGAACAAACCTTGAAGGAAGGCAATGTAAAATATGGGACAAGTGGAAGAGGTAGCAGGCAGAAGCAATCGGACCTGGTGACTCTCTGGAAGCGGTACCCAGGAAGAAGTGTCAATAGCATGCAGCAATCTAAAAAGTGAGTGGTCAGGACTTGGAGACGGTGGTACCGGTGACTCTCCAGTACGTACGGAAGATCAGAAGTGGGGTGAGCTACAAGGAAGACAATGTGTATCAGAAACAGTCAGGCAGAGGCACCTGCCAGATGTCAGAAATCCAGGACTGGCACTTGGGATATGGTTCATGCTAAGTTATTGGGTAAATAAGTCCCGAGAAAGACATGGTAAGTAAAGCAGTACCCAGCAACTCATCAGTCTCAGAGTGAAATACAAGTCAAAACAAAAATGTCCTTGTCCCACAAATGTAAGGTCCTGAATGTTCATGTTACAAATGAAGTCAATTAAGATGCAAAGAGGTTAAGTGACTGGTCAAGGCCACTGAGGCCTGATGGGATTCCTAAGTTCAGGTGCCCTGTCCTAGTGCACAGTTTTCCTGTCAGAGCCCAGCCTTGCCTTAGCCAATACCGACCTCAAGGAGGATATGTTACCCTTGATTCTGAAGCCCTAACTTCTGTCGTTAGGAGGATAAATGATATAAGCTCCTTCATTCTTGTCTTCTTCCTGCCACCCTTCTGTCACCACTTCCCAAGAACCTTGCAACCAGATACCTACACCACTAGCCCGAGTCCCCCATTCTCACAGATCCTTCTAAACCTGGGGACCCTCCAGTGTGGAAGAGGCTACAATTCCACTTGCCAGGACACTCTCTCCAGCCATTGCTTGGTGGGCTTCTAGCTGCTCAGCCCCTCACCATCATTGGCTTTTCCCCCAGCGTCCAGTTGGAGAGAATCAACGGGGGATCTTCCTACTGCTTTGGCTCCAAGAATTTTGCCAGAATCATCCCTCTCATCATTTCCTTCAAATCACGTCTCTCAAAGGTTGACCTGAGGAATTAACAGCTCACCTGGTACCAGGCTTTCAGGGGCATGGCTGCCATCACCTGGGCTCCTTCTCAGTGAAGGGCAGGGGCTGAGGGAAGAAGCAAAGAGAACCAGAGTAAGCCTTGCCCAGTCAAAGGCTCTCCTTAACACCAACAAATCTGCCAATAACCGCAGCAATCATTTACTAAACGCCCACTGGGTAGGTGGTATATACATATTTCTGATGCCCTTGGGCATCAAAACCTATACTGCCAACATCAAGCAATGCTCTGTCCTAGGTAGGACATGAATACAGGGGGAACTTGAGTACACAAAGAGCAAAAAAACTAGCAGCAACACCTAACAAGAGGAAACTCAGACCTTCATTGTAAAAACTATTTTACTGGGAAACATAAAAGGTTAAAGAAAATAGAAACAAATACCATGCTTTTTGGGTGAAATATAGGCACCCTCTCACTCAATAGCCACAATAATCTTCTGAACCTTTTCTTTTTCCCAAATGAGAAAACAAGGCTAAGTGAATAATTTTCTCTACCAAGGTCACTCAGTCAGTGGATGGATGAGTTGGAGGCAGAACTCCAATCTGCCAATTCCAAAAGTCATGCTTTTAATAACTACATTCAGTTGCTCCCAATCTAATCCCAACAGGATTTCTCTTAGAACCTGATAACACGACTCTAAGGTAAATATGGAAAATAAATGAGTAGCCAAGAAATTCAGAATAAGAGTCTGAGTAAGTCTTCCTTTTCTTGGGTCTCCAGGCAGGCATCTTTTTTGTTCATCGTCCCATTCAAAGGACCTTGAAAGGCCAACTCAACATTCCAAAATGTAGTAGCTGTTACTTTAATTATATCCCCTATGAACATTGTGTATTCTCATTAAGTAGTCATATTCTACCAAAAGGCCAGCACCTTCCCTAAGAAAACTCATTGCAAGGTGTAATTTCCTGCTAAGCTCATCTGTGCCACCCTTATTCCTGGTCTAGCCATTCTAGCCTTCTTTCAGTTTCTTCTGCTATGCTAATTCAGGACCTCTGTACCTGGATGAGACCTTAGAGCCTTTGTAACGGATTCTGGCCACCTGCAATACTCCCCAGCAGCCGGAACCCCTCTTCAGCTAGGTAATGCCAACTCAGCCTTCAGGTCACCCTCTCCAGACCAGGTCAGGTCCCCTGTTACACACTCCACTAGTACTGTATTCCCTCCCCTGTGTACCATGTCTCCCATGTTTGAGATGACACACTGATGTGTGCTTTCTTCGTTCAACAAACATCTACTGCATACATTCCAGCCCAAGTGTGAGAGAGTGGAAAGAGAAAAAAAGGTGATCCCTTTCCTCGCTGGGCTTGGTCTAGAGGACTAAAGGACACACATATATTAATCCAAGATTATCATAAATAACTTTAAGATCACATTTGTGACTAGTGTCCGGGAGAATCTATTCTAAATGATAAGACTGAGCAGGAATTGGCTTGATTAAAAGGAAAATCTTTACAAAAGTGACAGCAAGTGCAAAAGCTCGTCCTAGAAGTGAAAGTCTGCAGCTGAGCCAGGGGGGAGTGTGCTGCAACACGAGGGGAAGCAGCGCAAGGGACCAAGCCACGCAGGCCTCGCGCACGTTGAGGACTTGGTCTTCGACCTAAAAGCAACCGGCTGCAGCGACGCGGTTAGGACCAGAGGGGTGAGATGATCAGAGGTGATTAATATCTAACTTCCCATTAAACTGAAAGCTCCCCGAGGCCGGGACCCACACCCGTCTCATTCCTAGCTGCATCCCGGGAACCCAGAACAGCGACTGGGCATTTAGCTGCTCAACCATTAGTTCGCGCAATGCGCAGAGGGACTCTGTGGCTGTGCCCGGCACGCAGCGCGTCTCCTTCCATCCACAGCCTCCATTCCCCAAAGCCGCTGGGAGCGAGGGCACCCGGGGCGAGCGGGCCTGGCTCGCAGGCAGTCTCCGACGCCTTCCGCCGCGGCAGCAGGGGCAAAGGCGGCTGCCTTCTCTAAGGGTGAAAGGAGCGCTCCTAGCAGCGACTCCCAGGTGACAAACCCAACACTCACCTCCGACAAGGCGCCGTGGCCGGCGTGACCGGAAGTGCGTCACCCCGAGCGCGCCGCCCAGGCCGCACGTGCTTCCTCTCTAGGATGCCATTGCGCGCAGCTCGGTGGTTCTCTGGCGCCGCTCCCAGCGCAGGGCTTCTTACCCTGGGACCCTCAGGGACCTTGAGTAGGTGAGCAAGTTTATGGTCGTTTTCGCTCATCTCTAACCGAAACAGCATTTCCTTCAATTTCGTGTTGGCAACAAACCACGGTAGTATCAGTAGTACCTGTGATTTTTGTCAGAGAATCACAGATGTTTTCATCGCATTACAGTTGATGTAGATGCAGTATCTCAAAATACGGGTCATTCTTATCAAGGTTATTCTTATCAATAATTTGCCGACATAAGAAATGCCCAAACCTGTAAGAATTTCTATGAGTTTATTTGAGCCAAACCAACAACAGAACAGTTTGCCGGGAAGCAAAATCTCAACGGATTGAGAAATGGCAGTTTTGCACCTTATTTTATACACTAGAATCAAAGGAGAAGATGGGGGGGGGGGGGGGGGGGGGGGTATGAAATCCATTGGTAGATTAGGGAGACAGGAGAAAGCAAAGCAGGGAAATCTGAGATTGAATAAAAAGCACACCAAAAGGTTGCAGGTTTGATTCCCAGTCAGGGCATATACAGGAGGCAACTGATCCATGTTTTGCTCTTTCTCCCTTCCTCTCTCTCTCTCTCTCTCTAAAAATCAATACTGTAAACATATCCTTGGGTGAGGATTTAAAAAAAAGTTTTAAAAAATAACAAGCGAAATGAAAAAATATCTAGTACATGGATACTATGTTCATTGACTGAACTACTCAATGTTGTTCTCCCCAAATTGATCTATATATTCAAAGCAATCCAATCAAATCCCAGCAAGACCTTTTGTAGAAATCAACAAGCTGATTGTATGTCAATCATACAATGAAGCTGAAAAAAACAACAACAAAAAACAGCAGTGGAAAAAGGAGGGCTATATTGTGTGATGGTTAGAGCATGGGCTCTGAAGCCAGGCCGCCTGGGTTTGAATCTTTGATAAGTAAGCACCACAAAATGTACTGGTTATTAGTATTCATTAAAGGACCGCTATGGAAAATTAAAGACTAACATCTTGTTGAGGAAGCAACAACTGGAACTAAAGACACTTCATTCAAGCAACTTCCACTGATTCTTTATCTGAATCACTTTGGTGTCTGCAGAATCATAAGTCCATTATTAAAAGTTAGCCCCCAGAGGCCTCCAGATAGATGCAAGCACGGGTCCCAGACAGAGACCTGGAGGTGGGAACCACAGCACAGGGAACTCTTTATCTGAAGCACAGAGCATGGAGGCTGGCACCCTCCTCTCCTTCTAACTTGGCCCCAAGCAGTACTGGGCACAGGAATGTAGAATGAATTATAACCAAGAAAAAAATCAAGGTTTAGGGAGTTTTAATAAGGCCACAGCGATCATAGTCCAGCATGGGTGGAATGAGGATGAACAATCTTCAAACACTTGAACAGCCTGACTCTGTGCTGAGTAATATTAAACAGCAGTCCTGAAGGTCAGCTACTTTTGCACAGCACAATGGTGACATCTAGTGTTAGCAAGATCAATCTCAGCACTGCAATTTACCTGAACTTTAGAGAAACAGGGTCTTGGTGTCTTACTTCCTCTCAGGATTCTCTCTGAAGGGCCAATTTTTTTTTCCCAATTTGTAATTTATTAACAATTGCTCTTTTATTTTTCACATTTTTGAAATAACTGATATACATAAACTGGACATTTTAATTTTTTTCATTGAAACAGTTGACATATAACATTGTGTAAATTTAAGGTGTACATGTTAATTTGATGCATTTATATATTATAATATGACTGCTACTGTGACAATAATTAACACCTCTACCACATTACATAATTATCATTTTTTTAGTGTTGGAATAATTAAGTTCTAGTCTCTTGGCAAGTTTAAGGATTGTAATACAATATTGTTTTCTACAATCACTATGCTATGCAGATAGATCTCTAGGATTTATTTACTATTGGTTGCAAGTTTGTACCCTTAAACAACATCTGTCTTTTCCCCCCACCTGGAGTGGACATTTTTAAGAGTGTAAGATTTGGTGAGTTTTAACCAGCAGAGAACAAAATAGACAAAAATCTGTCTTCATAGAGCTTGCATTCTTAGTGGCCAAAATTATGTCACATGGCTACTCCCACCAGCAGAGAAATCTGGAAGGCAAGTGTTTAGCTTTCTGGTGTCCTTAGTAGAAAAGAGGATGGAAGGGTGTAGAAAGAGCCAAACTGTAGTTTCTGCCACTATGATACTGGGGAGCAGACTCAAAATGTATCAATGTTTTTGTACACAAGTTAGGGTTAAAACATGTTTCAGAAGTATTGACATGTCTATTCCTTAAACTAGACCTATTTATTATTAATACTAGAGGCCCAGTGCATGAAATTCGTGCACTCGCGGGGGGGGGGGGGGGGGTGTCCCTCAGCTCAGCCTGTGCCATCTTGCAGTCTGGGAGCCCTTGGGGATGTCCAACTGGCAGGGAACGGGCCTAAGCCAGCAGTCAGACATCCTTAGCACTGCTACAGTAGCAGGAGAGGCTCCAGCCACCACCACTGCCAGCTGTGAGCCCGGCTTCTGGCTGAGCTGTGCTCTCCCTGTGGGAGTACACTGACCACCAGGGGGCAGCTCCTGTGTTGAGCATCTGCCCCCTGGTGGTCAGTGCATGTCATTCTGCCCTTTGGTTGATTTGCATATTAGCCTTTTATTATATAGGATTAATTTATTAACATATTGTTTATAACTTAGATGTCTTATTTGGTGGCATGTAAAGAGATCCCCCAGCACAAGACCCTGGCCCACAGGGCATCTCCAGTCAATATTATCTTGGCATCAATAAGGTACACCCTGTGGATCCTCAAGTATTGCTTACCAAGCATGCTAAACTCCACCGGCTGCGAGTTTGACATGCTTGGTTAGACCATTCATTAGTTTGGGTCTCTTTCATTGGCTTGCTGTAAAGGTTCTCTGTGTTTCTAGCTCAGCAGGCTTTGCTAGCTTCTCGAGATGTTAGAGCCTCTTTGTTTTCCAAAGTCCCCTTGATAGAAAAAAATAGTCTTACTAGATAGGATGAGCGGAACTGCTCATCTGGCCCACAATAGATCCATTCATGCTGAGTCAGTAGCAAATCACAGTTTACAGAAACCTCTCTAAAATTCCCGGGACTTTCCATCAGGATACACTTCCCAGAGGAAGCTCCATCCGAGCACTGATTCTCAAACTCAACTGCACATGGGAATCACCTGGGAAGATTTTTAAAAATATGATGCCTGGATCCTGGCCCCTACAGCAGTGATTCTCAATTGGGCGATTTGCTCCTCCCACCAGGTAACACTTGGCAATGTCTTTTGGTCATTTCAATTGGGAGAGGGTTCAACTGGCATCTAGTGTGTAGGGCCCAGAGATGGTGCTAAAATCCCGCAATGCAGAGGAAAGCCCCCCATGGCAAAGGATTGTCTAGTCTCAAAGGTCAGTAGGGCCATGGTTGAGAAACCCTGTTAAAGATTCAACTCTCTAAAGGTTCGGCCTCAGCATCGGATTTTTATTTATCTCTATTTTTAATATATTTTTATCGATTTTAGAGAGAAAGGAGAGAGGAGAGTGAGAGAGAAACATCATGTGAGAGAGAAACACCAATCGACTGCCTCCCGCACACACCCAGACTGGGGATTGAGCCCGAAACCTAGGCACATGCTCTGGCCGGGAATCGGTTTGTCTGCCTGCCGCAAAGAAAGCCAAACTAATGAGACAGGTGCTGGTGCAAAATGAAAGAGGTTAATTCAGGTGCCACATACCTGAGAGAATGGTGGACTCCCGTCTCAAAGACCATCCCCCTTCCTGCTCAAGCCTGTGGTTCTTTTTAAAAAACTTTTTTATTGATTGATTTTAGAGAGAGAGGAAGGGAGAGAAACATCGATTTGTTGTTCCATTTATTTATGCATTCATTGGTGTATCTGGACAATGCTCTAATTAACAGAGCTACTCGGCCAGGGATAGGGAGGGGAGGGCTTTTTTTCTATACAGTTATCTTGCCAGCTTTTGGGGGGCCCTTGAGCCCTGTCCATTCATCTTTCTAGCTTTTGGCCGCTAAGTGTAAGAACATACACACACAAACACACACAAGAAAAACACACACACACACATACACACACACACACACACACACACACACTATCTTGGCCAATGGAGGAGACTCCCCAGAGCTCCCTGACTGTCTCTGGTAGTGGGGTGGGGGATGCCAACAGCCCTCAGCCCTCCTCCAGAAGCTGGACATAGAACCCACACATCTGGAGGAGCCTTTTGGAGTCCACAGGGCACCCCTAGATCTAGGCGTGGCCACATCCTCTGCCCAGCCCCCGTGCCTGGCTTGCCCCTCCAAAGTTGCCAGCCAGGCCTACACTCCAACTGACAACTTAAGGTAACACTAGGAGTTGCACGTGGGAGAAGCACCTTCTTTGCAAGTGAACCCCTGCTGCTACTCTGTAGAGGTCAGGTTCTTCTTTGGGGGGACCTCCAGGAAGGGCCGCCACAGTTGCACAACTGCAGAGGGCACTGTTCACATAGAACACAATGTGAATGCTACTTCCTGGTCCATGGCCCCCAAAGTAAATGTCTACATTCACCAGATTGACTAGACTTTAAATCAGACCCTTGGAAATATTTTTGCCAAATGAATATATCCAACTAGCTCTAAAAGTATATTTATTCTGATATAGTTATTTATATTGTCTCAGATAATGCTAAGGAGAATATGTTTTATATTATATATACAACATATGTATATGTGTGTTTATATATAAAATTTTTATGAAAATGGTATCATACATACCAACCTGCAGCTGTCTTTTTTCATTTAATTTTCTATATTGCCCATTTCACAGGTCCAGACATGTCGCTGTTATTCCATTTAGCAACTGCAGAGTGTTACACTGCATGGCACTGGTGGACTTAAAGAACAGCTGCTTATTGAATGCGAGTGGAGTGAACACAGGCATTTCTGGAACATGACACACTAAAAGCACAAAATGGATGAGAATCTACAAGGATAAGAGCATGAGAAAGATGAAAACAGATGAGAGATGTCAATACAGTTTGGGAAGCTGGAAAGGGATAGAGATGGTAACCAGGGAAAACTGGAAGCCTTGCATGGGAGTGGAGTAGGGGGGAGGATGGTTAGGACTCATGTCTAATACCAGGAAGTAAGTGGACTCACTTTGGGGGGGCCTCCAGGAAAGGCTCAGGAACTAGGCGTCAGATACAGTACTTTGCAAGGCCGAGACAGCCAAAGGGGGAGATATAAGGAGCAATTAGACTTGCAGATCCCATCCCCACAAGCACAGCCCAGAGACTTCTCCCAAGCCCTGTAACACAGGAGGTTTATTCTCTGGAAGAAAATAGCAAAGGGCCAGATTAAAGCAGAGGATTTACGTGTAGTAAAACAAGAAGATGAATGAAAGTCTGCACACTGAACAGAGAAGCACCACAGTGCCTCACCACGGCCCAGCCCTATTCTCCCACCTGGCTCTCAAACACTATCAACCAGGCTTTATACTCTCTGCATGGAAGCCTGGAAGACCCTTCTTGAGAGGCAACAAATAACCCCAGGTAAACCTACAGACATCTGGGGTAGAGATCTATCAATTAAAATCCAACAGTCTTATTTTTTTTAAATATATTTTTATTGATTTCAGAGAGGAAGAGAGAGAAACATCAGTGGTGGGGGAGAATCATCGATCGGCTGCCTCCTGCACACCCCACACTGGGGATTGAGCCCACAACCCCGGGCACGTGCCCTGACCGAGAATCGAACCGAGACCTCCTGGTTCATGGGTGGATGCTCAACCACTAAACCATGCTGGCCAGTCGCCAACAGTCTTCTTTACTACAAAGGCCTGGGTGTGAATCTAAGGTCTCAAGCGTGGCCATGCCTATGGGTAGCTTGAATGTAATATAAATAAAAAGAAGTTGATGATGCTCCAATCAACTGACCCACACCAGCCAGGGTCCCAAGTAGGACTTTTAACTGTTTAAAAGGCTTTGTTGTGTGGGTCTTGTGTTTCCCTCCTCACTGTCCCACAAAGGCAAGTGTTACTCTTCTGCAGCAGCTGTGGGTCATGGAGACCTACGGCAAGACTTGCCAAAGATCTGACAGCAAATAAGTGACCTGGGTCAGAATAGCACCTACACTGACCTCTTTCTCCACATGCATCAGACTGGGAAAATACCAGGAAAACAATGCAAGAGCACGAAGAAATCACCAGCAAATTTAAACACCAGCAAATGAACAGAAAATATAAAGTTTATCCAGTATATATAGTATATACAACATCAAGTATATCTAAGTTTTTAGTATGTCCAGATTTTTTAAAAATGATTTTCTTTTTAAAAATATTTGTTATTGATTTCAAAGAGAGGAAAGAAGAGAGAGAGAGAGAGAGAGAGAGTAAAATGATTTTCTTTTAAAAAATATTTGTTATTGATTTCAAAGAGAGGAAAGGAGAAAGAGAGAGAGAGAGAGAGAGAGAGATAGGAACATCAATGATGAGAGAGAATCATTGATTGGCTGTCTTCTACAGGCTCCCTACTGGGGATTGAGCCCACAACCCAGGCATGTGCCCTGACTGGGAATCGAACTGTGACCTCCTGGTTCATGGGTCAATGCTCACTGCTGAGCCTCTGACCTCCAAAAGTTATATATGATCTAAACTACTTTTCAAGCAGAGAACCCTTACATTTTAGAACTGGGAAGAAACTTAAATATTATCAGTACATTTATTCTCAAGCTATTTGGTCTCAAAGAGTTTTTGTTTATGTGGGCATGTTTGAATAGGGTTTAGAAGGCTGAATAGAAGTTTTTAAGATGGAATGGGGGTAAGGTGGAGAGGAGAACATCTAGAGAAAACAGGTATAGAGGAATGGAGTGTGAAAAGACATTCTTCTATCACTAACAGGACGTAAAATTTTGGTAAGATATTTATACTTCCTGACTCTAAGTTCAACTCAAATAAGAACAAATAGTGACACCCATGTGGCAAATAAAATTAATGGGTTATGAAACACCTTTCAAGGAAAAAATGACACCTTCACACCCAGAAGGTAAATGCTACCACAACTCAGGTGAGATGTGCTCTTAGAAAAGGCACTTGGAACAGTTTATCCCAATGTTGATTCTGGTTTTGGCTACATGGAGTCTCATTCATTCTTACTCCTGACCTTGACCCATAGCTATAATTAGTTTTTCACAGAACTGGACCAGCAGGATGTGGAGGGGGCGGGGAATAATTCATGGACTCCCAATGGACAATATGCTAAATGACTGTCAGGAAGAGAGGAGCAAACCTATGATCTCAAAATAATTCCTTGGTCATTTGCATCCAGCATAAATCTAGATTTTAATGAGACATGTGATTTAGAAATAAATGGGGATAGTATCTGCATAATAGTTTTTGGTATTAAATTATTTAATATGACTATTAAGCATGTTTCTGCAAAAACCTTCCCATACCATACTGCTAGAATTATGCCATTCCCTTCATCAAAAGTTATAACATTCCTACTGAGTAAAATATAATTTTAAAATGCCCCTGATCTTATATTCAGATTTCCATATATTTGGCTTCATAATACCCTGCCATACCTTGACTTTTGAAAAAAATTTAGATGTAATTGGCACATAACATATTAGTTATTCCCAGCCTTTTTTACTATTTCTCTGCAGAAACCCTCTTCTTTAGCAAAATTAAATTGCTCAGTATCCCCAAAACATGCTATACCATGTGATCAGTGACCTTTTTTGGGGGAGGGGGTACAGTGAACTTTATTGATAGTGCATGACAAGGTAGGGCTCCCCAAGCCCCTCCCCTCCTCAGGGGGTCTGGGATGGAAACTGTGGAAGTCAGGAGATTCTCGGTGTATTGAAGGACCGATTTGAGGCATGGACTCTCCAGCAGCTGAGGGTCTCTCTTCCTCTCACTGGGTCTGGTGGTCCAGGGGGCTCTTACTCCTTGGAGGCCATGTGGACCATAAGGTCCACCGCCCTGCTGCTGTAGACAAATTCACTGTCATACCAGGAAATGAGTTTGACAAGTGGTCCTTGAGGGCAATACCAGCTCCAGCATTGAAGGCGGATCCACTGTGTCCTTGTTAAAGTCGCAAGAGACAACCTGGTCCTCAGTATAGCCCAGAATGCCCTTAAGGCAGCGGTTCTCAACCTGTGGGTCGAGACCCCTTTGGCGGTCGAACGACCCTTTCACAGAGGTTGCCTAAGACCATCCTGCATATCAGATATTTACATTACGATTCAAAACAGTAGCAACATTACAGTTATGAAGTAGCAACGAAAATAATTTTATGGTTGGGTCACAATATGAGGAACTGTATTTAAAGGGCCAGAAGGTTGAGAACCACTGCCTTAAGGGGACCATCTGACGCCTGCTTCACTACCTTCTTAATGTCATCGTATTTGGCAGCTTTCTCCCGGTGGCAGATCAGATCCACACTGACACAGTGGGGGTGGGGACAACAAAGGCCATCCCAGTGAGCTTCCCATTCACCTCAGGGATAATCTTGCTCACAGCCTTGGCAGCGCCAGTAGAAGCAGGGATGATGTTCTGGGCAGCCCTTCAGCCATCACGCCACATGGCCCATCCACGAACTTCTGGGTGGCAGCGACGGCAGGGACTGTGGCCTGAGTCCCTCCATGATGCCAAAGTTGTCATGGATGACCTTGGCCAGGGGGGCCAAGCAGTTGGTGGTACATGAGGCAGTGCTGACAATCTTGAGGGAGTTGTCATACTTGTCATTGTTCACACCCATCACAAACATGGGGGCATCCGCAGAAGGGGCAGAGATGATGACACTCTTGGCTCCACCCTTCAAGTGAGCCCCAGCCTTCTCCGGGGTAGTGAAGACACCGGTGGACTCCACAACATACTCAGCACCAGCATTACCCCATTTGATGTTGGCAGGACTCGCTCCTGGAAGATGGAAATGGACTTTCCATTGAGGACAAGCTTCCCGTTCTCAGCCTTGACTGTGCCTTTGAACTTGCCATGAGTAGAGTCATACTGGAACATGTACACCATGTGTTTGAGGTCAATGAAGGGGTCACTGATGGTGACAATATCCACTTTGTCAGAGTTAAAAGCAGCCCTGGTGACCAGGCACCCAATATGACCAAATCCATTCACTCTGATCTTCACCATCATGTCTGAGGGTTGCAGCTGGCACTGCACAGGAAGACGCGGCTGACGAACAGGAGGAGCAGAGAACCGATTGCTGACCTTTTATAAGGATGATGTTCTCACGATCTCACCCCATACATGGCTAGGCTACGAGATAAATTTTCCTCTGCAGACCTCTCTTTTTATTTTTTATGTTAATATAAATAATAACATTTTTAAAAGCAATTCAAGTTTCTTGACTTTATTAGGAAATAACAGTAATAATGATTTGGTATTGTGTACTGAAGATAATAGTAAGGCTATCTAGACTGAGTCATATCCACTTATTTACATTCTACCCTTTAAAGTGTACTTATAGGATTTAGATTACCTGTGAACTAATCTATGCAGTATTAATAAAATATAAAATAGAGTACCCCATGTTTAAGAAATGACCATTGTACTTGAGGAAGAAAAGCACCTTAATTGGTGATGAGAATTTATTTATACTGTAGCTTCACATATCTTGTTGAACCAGGTTTTCTGTGGGTGGGTTCATTTGATTACACTGTGTGGTTAGGAATTTTGCACCTGCTGTGAGCAAAGCATCAAAGTTCCTTCTTAAAGACTGAACAAAGGTTCATTCATTCATTCCTTTCCCAAGCTTTCACTTAGCATCTTCCATGTGCCAGGCACTGTGAAAAAAGGTGGCCCTTCCTAAAAGGACTCCCCACCATTAGTTGGTGAGTAACAACCAACCACATAGCTTCAGTGTTATACAATAACTGTTCATTTCTCAGGTATCTGGGGTGGTTGCCTAGACAGTTCTGCTGATTTTGGTTGGGTGCCTTGGGTTTGGGGGGTGGCTGCGCTGATCTAGGATAGCCTCATTATGATAATTCAACTCTGCTTTATGTGTCTCTCACCCTCATGGCAGTGGCTTAGACACAAGAGGAAGAGCACGCCTAACCGCACAAGGGATTTTTATGCCTCTGCTTAAAAATGTCCTATTGATCAAAGCGAGTTTCATGGCTAAGACCAGAATCAGACTCATGGCACAGGGCATGAATACAAAAACAGGAGAATTGGGGAGGTCACTGCAATCTATCACAGGCTCTAAATAGTTAGACCTGGGGCACCTAACTCATGCTGACTTGAGCTGAACCTTGAAAGAGATGGTAGTTAGCTAAATCATAAAGAAGGGGAGGTGCTTTTCTCAGATCAACCCACCAGACCTAATAATTTAGAAGATTGTAAGTACTCCTGCATTTTTGCTTCATACAATGTATATACCCTCCACCTATAAACTTTCCCCCCATTTCCTATCTGGAATTTGGGCGTGAGTCCTAGATATGCAGCAGCCTTCTTATGACCATGAGGCAATAGACAGCAGATTGAAGTTCTACAGAAAGATGGCATCTAACAGCATCCTTGAGTCACAGCAACAACTCCAACCGAGCACCTGTAGCCTTTTTGTCATCTGGGTCAGCATCCAGGAATCCCTGCAAAATCCTCTGCAGAACCACCCTGCC